TCAAAACGCAGGTTCATCATCGCAGATCCACTACCAGGCAACGTCTGTCAAAACCGTCGGCCTGCTTCTGTAGCCACACACAGCCACGCTGGTGGACGTGGCTCGAAGAGCATCATCGGCTTGCCTACTCCGACCATGAAGATAGTGTTCAAGGGCAGTGAAGCCGTTTCACAGGCAGCAAGCGGAGGTGAGTCGAAGAAAGAGTTGGATACACCGGGGATTGAACCCGGGGCCTTCCGCTTGCAAAGCGGACGCGCTACCACTGCGCTATGCGCCCAGCAATTACATATCAAACTGCCGCAATACAAACAACGCTTTCTCGACCACATACACACCTCTACACGCACCCCAACATTGTACACGCATGGCTACAGGTGATCATCGTCGACTTCTATGCGTCTATCCATTCAAAACGCAGGCTCATCATCGCAGATCCACTACCAGGCAACGTCTGTCAAAACCGTCGGCCTGCTTCTGTAGCCACACACAGCCACGCTGGTGGACGTGGCTCGAAGAGCATCATCGGCTTGCCTACTCCGACCATGAAGATAGTGTTCAAGGGCAGTGATGCCGTTTCACAGGCAGCAAGCGGAGGTGAGTCGAAGAAAGAGTTGGACACACCGGGGATTGAACCCGGGGCCTTCCGCTTGCAAAGCGGACGCGCTACCACTGCGCTATGCGCCCAGCAATTACATATCAAACTGCCGCAATACAAACAACGCTTTCTCGACCACATACACACCTCTACACGCACCCCAACATTGTACACGCATGGCTACAGGTGATCATCGTCGACTTCTATGCGTCTATCCATTCAAAACGCAGGTTCATCATCGCAGATCCACTACCAGGCAACGTCTGTCAAAACCGTCGGCCTGCTTCTGTAGCCACACACAGCCACGCTGGTGGACGTGGCTCGAAGAGCATCATCGGCTTGCCTACTCCTACCATGAAGATAGTGTTCAAGGGCAGTGAAGCCGTTTCACAGGCAGCAAGCGGAGGTGAGTCGAAGAAAGAGTTGGACACACCGGGGATTGAACCCGGGGCCTTCCGCTTGCAAAGCGGACGCGCTACCACTGCGCTATGCGCCCAGCAATTACATATCAAACTGCCGCAATACAAACAACGCTTTCTCGACCACATACACACCTCTACACGCACCCCAACATTGTACACGCATGGCTACAGGTGATCATCGTCGACTTCTATGCGTCTATCCATTCAAAACGCAGGTTCATCATCGCAGATCCACTACCAGGCAACGTCTGTCAAAACCGTCGGCCTGCTTCTGTAGCCACACACAGCCACGCTGGTGGACGTGGCTCGAAGAGCATCACGGCTTGCCTACTCCTACCATGAAGATAGTGTTCAAGGGCAGTGAAGCCGTTTCACAGGCAGCAAGCGGAGGTGAGTCGAAGAAAGAGTTGGACACACCGGGGATTGAACCCGGGGCCTTCCGCTTGCAAAGCGGACGCGCTACCACTGCGCTATGCGCCCAGCAATTACATATCAAACTGCCGCAATACAAACAACGCTTTCTCGACCACATACGCACCTCTACACGCACCCCAACATTGTACACGCATGGCTACAGGTGATCATCGTCGACTTCTATGCGTCTATCCATTCAAAACGCAGGCTCATCATCGCAGATCCACTACCAGGCAACGTCTGTCAAAACCGTCGGCCTGCTTCTGTAGCCACACACAGCCACGCTGGTGGACGTGGCTCGAAGAGCATCATCGGCTTGCTTACTCCGACCATGAAGATAGTGTTCAAGGGCAGTGATGCCGTTTCACAGGCAGCAAGCGGAGGTGAGTCGAAGAAAGAGTTGGACACACCGGGGATTGAACCCGGGGCCTTCCGCTTGCAAAGCGGACGCGCTACCACTGCGCTATGCGCCCAGCAATTACATATCAAACTGCCGCAATACAAACAACGCTTTCTCGACCACTTACGCACCTCTACACGCACCCCAACATTGTACACGCATGGCTACAGGTGATCATTGTCGACTTCTATGCGTCTATCCATTCAAAACGCAGGCTCATCATCGCAGATCCACTACCAAGCAACGTCTGTCAAAACCGTCGGCCTGCTTCTGTAGCCACACACAGCCACGCTGTTGTATGTGGCTCGAAGAGCATCATCGGCTTGCTTACTCCGAACATGAAGATAGTGAAGCCGTTTCACAGGCAGCAAGCGGAGGTGAGTCGAAGAAAGAGTTGTATACACCGGGGATTGAACCCGGGGCCTTCCGCTTGCAAAGCGGACGCGCTACCACTGCGCTATGCGCCCAGCAATTACATATCAAACTGCCGCAATACAAACAACGCTTTCTCGACCACATACACACCTCTACACGCACCCCAACATTGTACACGCATGGCTACAGGTGATCATCGTCGACTTCTATGCGTCTATCCATTCAAAACGCAGGCTCATCATCGCAGATCCACTACCAGGCAACGTCTGTCAAAACCGTCGGCCTGCTTCTGTAGCCACACACAGCCACGCTGGTGGACGTGGCTCGAAGAGCATCACGGCTTGCTTACTCCGACCATGAAGATAGTGTTCAAGGGCAGTGATGCCGTTTCACAGGCAGCAAGCGGAGGTGAGTCGAAGAAAGAGTTGTATACACCGGGGATTGAACCCGGGGCCTTCCGCTTGCAAAGCGGACGCGCTACCACTGCGCTATGCGCCCAGCAATTACATATCAAACTGCCGCAATACAAACAACGCTTTCTCGACCACATACGCACCTCTACACGCACCCCAACATTGTACACGCATGGCTACAGGTGATCATCGTCGACTTCTATGCGTCTATCCATTCAAAACGCAGGCTCATCATCGCAGATCCACTACCAGGCAACGTCTGTCAAAACCGTCGGCCTGCTTCTGTAGCCACACACAGCCACGCTGGTGGACGTGGCTCGAAGAGCATCATCGGCTTGCTTACTCCGACCATGAAGATAGTGAAGGGGGCCGTTTCACAGGCAGCAAGCGGAGGTGAGTCGAAGAAAGAGTTGTATACACCGGGGATTGAACCCGGGGCCTTCCGCTTGCAAAGCGGACGCGCTACCACTGCGCTATGCGCCCAGCAATTACATATCAAACTGCCGCAATACAAACAACGCTTTCTCGACCACATACACACCTCTACACGCACCCCAACATTGTACACGCATGGCTACAGGTGATCATCGTCGACTTCTATGCGTCTATCCATTCAAAACGCAGGCTCATCATCGCAGATCCACTACCAGGCAACGTCTGTCAAAACCGTCGGCCTGCTTCTGTAGCCACACACAGCCACGCTGGTGGACGTGGCTCGAAGAGCATCATCGGCTTGCTTACTCCGACCATGAAGATAGTGTTCAAGGGCAGTGATGCCGTTTCACAGGCAGCAAGCGGAGGTGAGTCGAAGAAAGAGTTGTATACACCGGGGATTGAACCCGGGGCCTTCCGCTTGCAAAGCGGACGCGCTACCACTGCGCTATGCGCCCAGCAATTACATATCAAACTGCCGCAATACAAACAACGCTTTCTCGACCACATACGCACCTCTGCACGCACCCCAACATTGTACACGCATGGCTACAGGTGATCATCGTCGACTTCTATGCGCCTATCCATTCAAAACGCAGGCTCATCATCGCAGATCCACTACCAGGCAACGTCTGTCAAAACCGTCGGCCTGCTTCTGTAGCCACACACAGCCACGCTGGTGGACGTGGCTCGAAGAGCATCATCGGCTTGCCTACTCCGACCATGAAGATAGTGTTCAAAGGCAGTGAAGCCGTTTCACAGGCAGCAAGCGGAGGTGAGTCGAAGAAAGAGTTGTATACACCGGGGATTGAACCCGGGGCCTTCCGCTTGCAAAGCGGACGCGCTACCACTGCGCTATGCGCCCAGCAATTACATAACAAACTGCCGCATTCTTCCACGCTCGTGCTTGAAGGTGTGTGCTAGTAGCAAGTGGCAGCTTCTTATAAGTGCCCGTCTACAAGCGTAGACTTTGCGCACCATGTCCGTCAAGATGACGGGCAGCATCAAAAAGCTGCACACAGGCTAAAAGTAGCTAAAAAAGCTGTTTGACACCGAGAAAAGTAACATTCAGTCCTTTATACATAATTAAATCTTTATTTTTGGTGCGTGCGCACCTATTCGTTGGAATGATGGGTACAAACCCTCGTTACACATAAAAAATAGCTCTCATCTGAGTAGTAAAGTTTAAGCCGGTAAGGGTTTGTTTTTCTAGAGCACTTTGCGCGTTAAGCTATCTGAAACGTTAGCTTATAGGTTGTTAAACTGGACAGTCTTTTAGTTCCTTAAATCGAGTTGACTCTATCAGTCGGTATCTCTTTTTGGTGCTTTAGAACTTTGGCCGTTAGGTGTGTAGATCCGCTACAATTAGCTATATTAGACCTATTATAATGCATAGAAGCCTTTAGAACATTCTATATGTGGCCCAAAATAGGTTGAAGCTCTGCATCGTGCACTTCCAGCATGTACATGTAGTTATTCAAAAAGGCAAACATGCCCATCAACGGGTACATACCAGGAACTTCATAATTTGATATAATGTATAGGTAGATAAATCAATGCTACAACGTGAACTACGTCAAACACGATCAGAGCGAATTGATGTCGTCATCTATTTGACCGCCACGTGGTCTGGTTTATTGCCGTTTGTAGCAAAATGGCCATCCTTTTTTGGTTGAAAAATGGTTGCTGTAGTTAGTTACCCTACCAGCTCCGAGGTAACTCCGGTCGGAGCCTCCAGCGTATGCACCAAATTTGCAGCCTAGTACAGAAAAATTCCACTATTGTAAGGTGATGCCCTTGGGACCAGAGGCATCTCTCAATTAAACAAGCTATTAGTTAAGGAAGTATTACTATAGGCCCATCCCTCTTTGTGTGTCTAATCTGCTCTAGCGCCAAGAAAAGCTCTCGATGAGTCGCAGTGGGCGGGTGGGCGTAGGAACGTCTTCGACCTAGCGATGAATAAAAGCATCCTCAGGTGGCGCGATGCTTTCGTCGAACACGTCAGCAAAAGAGGATTCCCACCAGTCCTCTGCAAATAAGTTGCGCATTGAGTCGCCAGAGGGCGAGCTCTTCTTCTCAGTCGATACGAGGTCCAACTCCCGCACATGAAAGCTGGTGACGGAGGAACTCCGTCGTGATAGCCGAAGTAGTTGACATCTTGGCACGATTGCAGCATCTGCACCCGTGGATGCCCTTCTGTTCTCCCTATTGTTCCTATTGTCTCCCTCTTGTCTTGTCTTGCCATCAGCCTCCGTTGTGTGGTCTTCGTTCACCATCAGAAAGTCCCGGATAAGATCCAGCGCTAGACATCTCAAGTACTCATTACCATCCCATTCCGGCGTTTCTTCTGCATCGTCTTCGTCTCCTAACAAGCCTTGCGTTGTCTCCAGCAGAAAACGCACGTAGCTATCTAGCTCCTCCATCCTCGTGGCATCTAGTCGCTTCTTGGAGAATCTCAGACCAGACTGAAAAATGTGGCGCTCCGGGAAGCGCACACTGCTGTAAAAGTGCTCGAGCTCCGCACAAGCGCCACAACTAGGATGGGTTTTATTACCGCTAAATTGACGCTGTAGAGCGTCGTGCAGCGCCCGGAACTCGGAGTAGCGCTTGGCCACGTACCAATCAGCAGTACCACTGCGACTCACACGTAGTACGTAGAGCGTAGGGTTTTGACGGTGAGACTGGTTCTCTCGGCCGTAGGACACAATCTTGGCGGACACGGGACGTAGCGAACGCATCTGAAAAGTGGGCGAACAGTCGATGGCAGTTTTCTCATCTCTGAGGGTAATCATGGTCAATGTAATCGAAGACTTAAGGAGCTCAGCGTCTTTTAAGAAATGAGGATGTCGAGGCAGAAAGGATGCACCAATGAGGAGCCGAATGGAGATGATGCATGCATCATCAGAGGCGCGCAAACAGGCGGCAAGCAACTGTTTCATACGTTCTAAAATGATTAAACTAACTGGTATTTAATTTGTAGTTTTGTGAAGCATTCATTTCGATACACCTATACATGTGACTTCAACTACGCGAGAATATATACGGTAAACTTCCGGACAGAGATTCCCCGTGTCAGAGCTGCGAAAGAATGGACAAGCTTTGGTATGACAAACAGTGACGAGCAACTAAACCCTGGACCAAGCATAGACAGGTGACCGCTATATCAGAAACCTCTCGACATTGTAAAAGTCATCGTCAGTTGACTTGGGAAAAAACAAGAAATTGCTTCATGGGTGAAGTGAAGGTGGTCTGGCGATACGAGCAACTGACCGTGCTACTAACATTCACATTAAATCGTGCTGAGATAGATATTCTAGGTACCAAGTAAGATAGTGATCTCGTCTCTTCATCCTGTAGTCAGAGATTGTGACTGAGACGTATAAAAAGCGCGAAACCTATCCCAGCACTATACCTTTGTGTCCTGCAAAGAGTAAGGAAATAAGATGTCAAAATGCAGTACAATCGGCGTGTCGGCTAAAAATGCGATTTATTTATAAAAGCACTGTTGGCTAAACCTATCATGGCGGATTTTTCCGTGACAACCCGAATGAAAAATCTAAGAGACAACGGTATTTATAATGTCACAGACAACCGAAAACTTACGGCCGCTTGCTAACTTACGTTCGTACAGTAGTATTGCCACCAGCACACAAGCAAGTCGTGCAAACGGCACCTGCTTAAAGTACTGGATCTTATCGCCGCAGAAGCTACCATTCAGTCGGCTCTTTTAAATACTAAGGTTACCGAAAGATTCGTTTTGTAAGATCAAGTTCCCATAATTGAGGATCGCAAAGTTTTCGCAGAGATTTTTGCGCAAAATACAACATGTCATTAAGCGTCGGAGTGGAAAACATACTCCTTGTAGTTTACAAATTTTAAGAGGTCCTCAGTACCCCAAGAAATGCCTCCTGTCGATTACGAGGGCTATGCTGTTCCGGCTGCTGGTTGACGATGGTGTCTTGGAACACTTCGTTGATAGGCGGAGGTATGCGGTTGCTCACATCCCTATTGCCGTTGTTCTTTAATAGCGACCGCTCGGAGTACTTTGGCTTCCTTGCTCCGTGGACGCACATTCCTGCTTATAGATACTCCTGTTCCGCTGAACCATAGCACGGTCAGGCAGATGGAGCAAGCTATCCACCATGTTATTCATCAGGTCATGTCAGCGGTGTCTGGGAATTTCTAGTGCCGATCAAAATATTGAATGCGAATACATCCATTAGATACATTTTTAGTTTTTTATAAAAAATTTGGACGTACTATTTCCATAAAGTCTGTCTTCCGACAAAAACATCATATCTCAATGAGGCACATGACGAAACAACGGAAAAACATCATTCGACATTTGAAGGAAAAACGTAAAAGAACCATCGTGCTGGAAGGAGGAGATCCTCGCCGCTCTCAAGTTCTTGTTGATATTTGACTTAGCTTTAGAGATATTAGCTGAGTGAAGCGAAACTAAATGTATAATTGCAAGGTGCTCGCATAAAGCGATAAGGCGAGGGAGCACTGAAAAAAAAACCGCCCTCACTGCTCTCGAGGTTTTTACGAGCAGTGCTCCCACTTTACTCGTTCGGTTGTGCACTTTCTTTGTCAAGATTTGATGAGCACCGATGTGTTCTCCTTTTAATTTGTACTGTAGAAATGCTGCGCAAACCCTACAATTGACCTCAAAGACGAAATTGCATCTAGCACGTAAGCCCAAAACTCGTTTTATTATTCTTTTTATCACGCTCCGCCTTATTACAGAGCTTTCTCTGTAAAGTTATGGGTATGGTGGACGACAATATCCATAACTTAACAGAAGGCATAACTTATTGGATTATGTGTGTTTACCATAAGTGAACTTAGATAATAAAAAAACCTGGGTTAGCCCTCTTCTTTTCCAACGCTTTCCCCATGGTGCAAATAATGGACGCTAAATTGTGTTACTGTAGCGAAGTTCGGTTGCGGGGCTATTCCGAGCTGGTATGTTTGATCACAAGACTTCAATGAGGTTGCGTCATAAGTATTCTAGCCCACGGCTAAGATATAGGTCCGCACAGAGCGCGTCAGCTGGTAAGGCGGTTGCTATCGAGTCCAAGCACTCAAAGTCAGCTTAGATGGTTTAAATTGCGTTTCCTATCAGTTTAGCCTAATGACATCAATTGACTACTGGAAGAGAGCGATGGTTGCTGAGAACAGCGATTTCTTATGCTTCAACTACCTCGAAACATTTCGTTGTCATATTGGTGGAGAATCGTTTATTCAAGAGCGTCCATTACGAGCGCATCGAGCAGAGTATGGACAGATGATATCGATCAGAAGATATATTGTAACAGCTTTAAGCGCGAGCGACGTAGTTGGTATGAACCATGCCAGCAAGTCGGTCACGATGCTAATGGTGTGGCAGTAGTTCTAGTGAAAAATTATAGAAGACGTAGGGAGGCGACAAACCCTCAATGCAAAGTAAAACACGCGCTAATTAAAGCTACATAATCCGGAATTTATGGCGATGAGCATTCTCAACACATTTTCCCCAACAGTCGGAAGTGGTTGCTCAAGTCTTCAGCCTGCTTTAACATCCACGTAGAAGCAACTCTTACCAATCCGAAAGTGTCCAGTTTAGCAATCACTCTTGAGTCACGAACACGGTCACAGAACGACTTATTATGCAGCATCGGCAATCGAAATATTTTTGGTCTGCTGAAGAAGTGCTCAAGTTATCAGTGTGTAATTCTGCCAAAATCTATGCCAATTCTGTTCACGTCAACGTTGTAAAAAGCTTCACCATTGAGAAGCGAGGCCTCTGAGTGAATCTATTGAGATAACAGCATTGCTGATGTACGTAGCATTATGCACATGCACATCGTAAGCAAACGATACGGTCTCCGGTTATAACTTTCTTTCACAAATAATTGTTACGTAAGGAACGCGTCGGTACATACATTAAGTTGTATATCCTGTACCTTATTCATAACGCGAAGTGCGAGAAAAGCAGAACTATCTAACATGCATTTACACTTTGACCGTCTGACTGGCCTAAGAGCCAGCACCCCGATGAAGCAGGAAGAGCACACGCATGGTGTGCTTTGTAATTTCCTCTTTCGTCATAACCAACAGAGCACTCTTGAGAACCGTATTAAAAAGCTGCGCCGAACAGCCCTTAAAGTAGCCTCCAGGGCCTTCCAGCTCGCCAATACGCCTAAGCACCTGCACCATGGAGTTGCCCATTTTAGCGTGATGATGGCCAGATGAGCTCTTCTGCTGTTCAGAAATTGGCTTTTTCTGAGCTTGCATTAGCACCTTGGCGCGAATGACTGGGTACGTGATAATCGTAGCTATTGCCTTGGCGATGGCAGCCAGAGTGAAAGCCTCCAATGCTGTCAACGAGCTCACACGCTTTGCATTGCCTGCTGCCATCTTGGAGTGCTGTAACTGTAGCTTGAGCTTGTCAAAGATCGTGTAATTGATCGACGGATTGCTTACCAGCACCAACGAAGGGATAAATCCCTTCCAGAAAGACATCAAACCATCCTCAGCGTAAATCTCCTTGGCAATACCCCACATGGTGCGTCCGTGGGGCTCTTTTTTCTTCTCCTTGTCATTTGCATCACTGACCTCTTCATAACTGGGCTCAATCTGCGCTCGGGTGTTAACCATCTCCAACGGGAGTGTCATCGACATATTAAGCGCTCCAGCCGTAGAAGCCATAAGCAGACTCATGCCTGTCGTGATGGGCGTATTTGAGTGCTTTTCCATTGCCGTTTTAAGGAACGAGTACCAGTAAAAATAGACAAAGTTGGATGACACCGTGTGCATGACCTTGGAGCTAAGGCCAGCAAAAAGGCCCTCGACGCCTTCCTGTCGGTAGACAAGCCACACTGCCACCAGTAAGTTGTGTGCCTTCTTCTTGCGCAAAAGGAGAGCTTGGGTCTTGGCTTTTTTATCCATTTCAATCTCTTCCTCCTTACTATCATCCACGTCCACTTGCTTGCGCGTCTTGATTACGTCCAACGGATACAGAAGAACGGCGGCAAATAGCGCACCCATCGCGCCAGCCTAAAGACAAGACGAATTATAATTGTGCGTTAGTCATTGCAAACCTATACAGCGTTAATTCATTGTTTTCTTTTGCACAATACGGAGGCATCTACGAAGGCTTTGAAGGCAGGGGAAGCAGTGTTATTGGTATTTAACATGGCAGAGCATGGACCTTTGACTGTTGACTACATTTGATCGGAAAGTAAGACCTGTTAAACCTGATGAATGAATTTGAAAGGGTACAACCTTAAAGTTGCATGGTTCACAGGGGTGGATTATCTAAGACGATCTTAGCATATATATGAGTAGGACAGAAATTTTGAATGAGCGAATTCAGCCTGAGTTAGAGGTAAACCAAAGGTAATCCTTCGCCATCCCGTATCTGGTCGGGCCTGGAAAAGAATACGGTGGGTAGTTTGCTTCGAATGCGTGACCACGCTATGGTTCAGCCGGAACTTGAGCATCCATAAGTAGGAATGGTGCGTCCGCGGAGCAAGAGGTAGCTGAAGTCAAAGCAGTCCTTTTTCGCCAAGGTCGCTCTGCTCCACTTAAGTATAGAGCGGTGCATCGTATAATGAAATGAGGTATTTATGCCACATCTGCGGTGCGCTAGGCCCCGCTTTACTGGTAAGCGGCATAAAGTTGTATCCATCCACATGCGTTTAAACTCGTGTATTTGAATGATTGCCTTGCTGCAAGTACATTCATGTTTTGTCTACAAGTGAGCTCTATAACAAAATTCCGCTTGTACTGATTTACGCGGCAAACCGCTCCTTTTGAAGATCGAAGTTGTAATTTGAATCAACGCAGTCGTGAAAAGCGAACAGTCAGTATCAAATTGACTGAAAGATCTTCTAGGAATGTTATTCTAAAGATTTCGATACAAGTCTGAAAAACAGATGGTTTGTTTAGTAGCCAATATTAAAAAACTCTTACTTACGGTACTATATTTAGCGCTCTTTTCTACACATATACGGCGGATGAGTCCACTGTGTGGACGCAAGAGTGTATGACAGCGGACCACGAGCAGTCTATTCGTCCTATAATCCCTTCATATTTGAGAGCTCAAGCACAACGGGGAGAACCTTCCTCCTTCCTTCTAGTCCCTCGTGCTCTCTCTTGTGTACACAGCATCAATATGGTGAACATTGTCGCTTTCTACCCTTTTCTTTCCTCTATGGCATTGCATTGTCGCCTTCCTGAAGTTGATTCCATCCCCTCACTTGATTGTTTTTTACCTTTAGGGCGAACACAATGAGCTGTACATGATGGAAGAAGGTACTAATGCATATAGATACGATAGAGATGAGTTGTAATTGTCATCATTACTAAGATATTCTTCGCTCTATCTCTGATTGTTACGGCATGGTAGAACTTGAGGACGATGGTTGCTACTACGACAATGTGGACGGGCTGGGCTCCCAGCAGCGGTTTCAGCGCGTCCTGTACCCTCCACGACTTATGGTAGACTTTAAAAGCTTAGGTGTACGTTGTCTTGCATGTAGCTTTCGTTTCTCTCGATTAGGCGGGCTGGTTAGTTGCGTAGCGTCATTGAAAACGTGGCATTTGACTGACACTTGATTGGCGTTGAACAGGTGGAAGCTCTGAAGCGCTACCGTAAGTTTTACCACCTTAAGATGAACGAAAATTTGGAAAAGGAAGATCTGGCAGCTCTAGTGGCACGCCATTTCGACATGTCGCTGGAGGTGGAGGAGGACGACTCCATCGTCGCCTTCATGCAGCGTTTGCGCAATGGCGAGCGAACGGCAGTCAAGCGCTCGACTGCGCGTGAGAAAGAGTGCAAGGCTCAGGCAGCGGCCGAAAAGGCCAAACGAAAATCCACTAGTCGCAAGCGCCAGCGTGACCACTCAGTGTCTGTTCCATCGGGGCGCAATGTCAGCAACAATTCGAGTCACAACACGAGCAACGGCAACGCCGGAAACTCACATGGAATCGGTAACAACCACTCGAGGGGAGCGAGTAACAGCCACAACAGCCGCAATCACGGCAATGAAGGGCGCAAGGCGCCGTCAAGCAGCTCGAAACACTCGAACGCGTCGGGCAGCAAGACTAAGAAGACCAAGAAGGACGCAGACACGGGCGAAGACAATGAGCTCTACTGTATTTGCAACCTCCCGAGTTACGGCAATATGATCGCATGTGACGGAAAGTCGTGCCCGAATCCATCGCAGTGGTACCATCTCGAGTGCGTCGGCCTAGCTGACGGCCGCCACCCGGACACGTGGTTGTGCCCCGAGTGCGACCCCAAGGGCTTTACAGGTGGCTCTTCTAACAGCCAAAAGAAGAAGAAAAACAAGCGCTCCAAGTCTCCTGGCAACAAGTAAAGGATTTCTCCTGCAACACGTGACATATCATGGTGAGTAGCAAGAGTAGAGTATCTGCGCTATTGCAGGATGAGTTGCTCTTGCTTCGTGTCTATTACTGCGTGGCTTTTGATGCCTGACTTCTTTCCACTTTACTTGCTAATCTTTGATTCATTCAAATATACACTGATGTTGTTATTCGCTAATGTTTTCAAGGTGAGGTGCTTAGGTTGCGTGAGGATGCTCTTGCAAAAAATTGGACGTTGTCCGAATCTAATGGCTCTAGGATCACGATCTCAAGCAAAGTCCTAAAGCTGAACCTTTGTCAGCACCTTATGAATAGGGCTTGATAGTATACCATTATGCTTGCCAGAATGCCTGTGATAGCTCCAAGGTAGTGGTGACTGCATGCACGATTCACAAAGTACCACCAGCTGAGGTAAGCAGCCACTGACTTTCAGGAAACCATCGCACACGGACCGTCATTCATCTTGATATGGTACAACGAGCTTGATCGTATATCCTACAGAGGTGCGCTACCTCCTGGTGAGGTATGAAACGACCAACATTTTATCGTCGGACGTCTGTGCAGCAAATATACAGATGAAGCTTCACTCGTCACTAGGCGCTCGCAACGTCTAGAGGCGCACGGTCTTGTACTGACCAGTAGAGTCGACGAATTAGGTGTCGAATTTGCTTACATTCCCCCGACGTGACCGTCAATCGCTTGGACGATACCGAAATTTCAAATTCTATTGCGTTCGTTAAACAGCTCGGTGCCAATCGTTTTCGTGGGTAACGTAAAAGCAATCATCAATTTCTTTATCTTGTCCATGGAGTGAACATTAATTCCTCTATCTTGTCTATGGAAAAAACATTAATATCATCTATTTGTTCGATATAACTCATCAGTTTGCTGTTTCTCAATGCGTCTTCATCTCGTGTGACACACATCTTGACGGACCTGTCGCTGCACCTGATGCAGTCTGATTAAGACAGATGACGGTTGCGAGGCTGTGCACGTTCATCGACGTTGAGATTTTGCTGTAAAATGACCTCGAGCTTGTTACAAATTTTAGCTTTGTCTTCGGCTCCTCTGGCTCTGGAGAAACTAAAATTGGGAAAGACTTCTAGCGCTTTGCGAGAGACATGTTTTAATGAATTACTGATACATCTAGATGTGGATGGCTGTGATATGCTGCCATCTCAAAGCTATGACCTCCCTTCGGTAAGTAGCTTGCATAAACCACGTGATCGCGCGTGAGATTGACATAATTAGGTAGTGGCCGGCCTCCTCAGCAGCATCATTCCGGCGTCGATTTTTCGTCTTAGAGCGCAGCTCTTGCTGCTTTTTGCCCTGACGGTCGTGCATTCCATATCATTTTGCGCTCAGGCCAATCAACTTCAGGGCGTGCTTTCGAGTTAAAATTGAATCGCACGATTGTGTGAACTAGAAAGCTCAACTGTCGAACGTTGAGTACTTTGCTGCGCTGAGAATGACAAATATATCTTTCATCAGGTCCTTGACGACAATTTTTGTGACATTGAAGTATCTAAGTTCTTCAGCACGTTGTATACGTTGAGCAGCTATCTATTAGGTCATCGGAAGTCGTTGAGAACAGAGTCCTCGTTTTGGTTACTCAGCTCACATGTTTGGTCTACAGCTCGCAGATTTTTGTTAGGCCCGTATGCTTTTAGCGTGCAACTAACCGCGGCACTTTTAATTACCCTCAAGTCTACAGCACGATAGTATCTAACCAGAGTGCATAGCTCGCTGCCGCATCGGATTTTTTTTCATCTACCTAAGAGTTCAATGCCACATCCACGATAATCTTGACAGAATGTACTTCCTCATTATCTTCGCCACCAATTTCATCCTTATCGTTTATATCTCCTTATCATTAGCATTTGTTCAAGTTCACAAACAAAGCCACCAGATATCGCTGCCTCCTTTGCATATTTTTCCACTCCACAGAATGCACAACGCTATAAGAACGAGGTGTGATCAATACAGTTTGCTTAGAGCCTCAAGTCGAAAGAGCGCTAAATCTACATTTAAATTGCCGCACAGTGTGTTGTATTGGTGCCAGCCCGCGCTATTTTGACATTTTTACATCGGCAGGACACATGTGGTCTCTTCATCTCAACTTGATACTGCTGCTTTTCCGTTGCGTACAAGAGGCGCAAACACCACGACTCAAAATTTCGCCGTGGTTCCTTCAAATACATCACTTCCACTAGCTTGCATCCACCTCGCTTCCCATATAGGACCAAAACGGATCAATGAACCAATGCGCTGGAAAGCAGAGCTGCTAAGGTGAAGTCCACTGCAAGGACTACACCAATAGCATAGCATAACGATAAATTGTTTGTACGTATCTGCAGATACAGCATGAGGTCCAATCTGTTTTGTTTGTCTGTCTACATGATGACAATTCTGCTCTTTGGTGTATCAGGTCCTGTGCCCCTAAAAGTTTCGCTCCCGCCCGCAGCAATCGCTCCAGGTTCCCCGAATCCACCTGCTTCTGCTTCCTGTTCGCGCTTCTTTTTCCTTGAATACATGGCGAACATGAGTGCGCCGACGATGATTATGGCCGCTAGTATGCCGATAATAATAAACACTGCTGAGCTAGTGCCACCCGAATCTGAGTCGGCCACTGGCGGCCCGCTGCTGCCTGACTGCGATGTCTCCTGCGTTGTTGAGCCGTTGTCACTTTCAATCGATGCAGCAGTGGGCGACGTCGAGATGTTGCTAGCTTTACTCGTAGACCCTGATGTCGAGCTGGTCGTGCTGCTAGAGTCCAAAGTACTCATATCCGTCGGTGAGGATGTAAAATCCAATGAAGAGCTAGTAGGCGAGGCCTCAGAAAAGGAGCTGTCCGTGCTAGAAGAAGCCTGGAATGCAGAGCTTGACGGAATTTTGGAGCCCAAATTGGACTCAGTCTCGCACTTGTCGCCACTAAACCCGTCATTACATGTACAGCCAAAACTCGGTGCCCCCTCCGAGCTCGTCGACATGAGAGAGCACAACCCCTTCCCATTGCACTGTACGCCGTCTACATTGCAATCACCTACAGCAGACAGCAAACACACCCAAAATTATAAGGTTTTGTTTTTTGTTAAGTCAGTAAGTGCCACACTCGGACTCAGCTTCTTTTCTCTATGTCTTCTTACCACTGCATAAGGAATTTCCAAAGTACTCGTCACATCGGTCAATAGAAAGACATTTGTAAATGTTTAAATGTTTAATGCAGGCCAATTGACCACTAATCGTGTCCGATGGACAGCTCCCAAACGTCGACCCGCCACACGCCGTACCCGCCACGCAGTACTGGATGGGTGTCATCGAGTCGCCAGCCACACATGTCTCACCATCGCTACATTCCGCAGTACTTGTGCAGCTGATAGCCATATGCATGGCCTTCGCTCTCGGCTGTAGGACCAGCAAGAGCATCGCCATTACGACTCGCATATCAATCGGTCGTTTTAATAAAATTACTTGGAATTTGTATCCCACGAACGATACTGAAACGGTCGTAAAAAGTAAAAGTCGGGAGAGCGAAATATTTTAGTGTTTTACTTACAAATAGCAAGTGCAAAGAAGCGCGACAGCCAGTGTTTCGAAGCGATATTTTTACAGAACAGACGCGAATGGAAACCTCAACTCGACGCAGCACTTTATTTACTGCGTCGAAAGTGAGGTTTGTATATATTTACGCCATCGAATCGCCCTCTCAATCGCCAGCTTGGAATCGAAAGACTCAGGCCGCTATATTTGTCACTCTCTATACTAGCACTGACGATCTGTCTCGTCAGACTTTCTTGGATCCATTTGGCTTAACTTGTAATATGCACTTGAGTCACACGATACAATTTCGGAACTGTCGTTCATTTTTACCATACAACACAAGCCCTACTGTCCTAACATACATCTCTTCGTGGCCTATGCCAGTTGGCAAGTACAACCTGGGACTCTGCGTCAGCACGACTCCCCTCTCATACCTTCAACCATGAAGCACACCAACTGCCATTCACATGCCTTGCCATCCACTGCCAACTGCCAGCAACTTCCACTGTTCTTCAACTTATTCCAACACGCCTCTCTCGAGATATCCATCTCGCACATCTTCCTTCTGAACGCCCATTAACTTGGACAACCGTGCAAGACGCTTCTTATCGAGTGCTTTCGTAAATAAATCGGCAGGATTGTCGACTCCAGCAACTTTTTCCAGAATCACCTTCTTTAATTTGACCTGCTCACGAACAAAGTGCCAGCGTAACTCGATATGTCTCGTACGACGGGAATAAGTTGGATTTGTCGCCATCACGTATGCACTCTGACTGTCAATTCCAATGTGCATCTCAACAGGAATAGTTGGTAATATTTCACTTACAATGTTTCGCTCTCCAATCGCTTCCATTGTAGCTTCGCATGCTGCCACATACTCAGCCTCGGCCGTTGACAAGGCTATGATCGGCTGTCGCTTTGACGACCATGATATTGCACCACCTGCAAGCAAGAAAACAAAACCTCCAGTACTCTTTCGGTCTGCAGCATCTGAAGCCCAGTCACTATCACAGTAACCTTGAATTACAATCTTTGGATGCTGAGTCGATTGCGCACGCTTGTACACTATGCCATAATCAAGTGTTCCAGCGAGATATCGAAGGACACGTTTCACACAACCAACGTGATGTTTAGTCGGATTGGCTACAAATCGACTTAGCTGACCCACTGCATATGCCAAGTCGGGTCGCGAACATGTTGTCAAATACATTAACATTCCCACCGCACCACGATAATCAAACGTCTTATCGATGTCATCCTTTTCTTCTGCACACATTAGGTTTTGCTTTGTCTCAAGCGGGGTTCCAACTGCATGTGCTTGTTCAAAGTGAAACTTCTGTAGAATCTCACGTGAGTACTTTCTTTGACTTATCTTCATGGCATCTTGACTCGATTGCACTTCGACACCAAGATACTCCGTGAGCTCACCTTGATCTTTAATACCATATTGCAATGCTAGCTTTCCAAATAAGTCAACCTTGACTGCTTCGTTGTTTGTTGCGCATAAAATGTCGTCAACGTACACCAGCACCAGCACTATCGTTCCATCCGTGTCCTGACAATAGTATAGACACGGTTCCGTTAAGCATCTTTGATACTCATTTTCCATCATCCAATTGTGTAACTCATCATTCCACTCACGTCCAGCTTGACGTAAGCCATACAATGCCTTGCGCACCACATACATGTGTTCCTTACGTCTGCATGGAAATCCGTCAATCGATTTCACATACTGTGGTATCTTTAAAGTTGCATTTAAATACGCGGTGTTAATATCACCACCGTACACCTTGAGATTCAGTTCTGCCGCTAATGCAAGCGTCATCCTGAAACTTGACATACGTGCTACAGGAGAGAAAGTCTCACCAAAGTCAATACCAGGCCGCTGCCAATTTCCCAAAGCAACCAAGCGTGCCTTAAAACGGATTACATATCCGTATTGATCCGTTTTAAGTGCCCACACCCACATGGTTTTATTCGCTTTGGCTTCTGGTGGTATGTCAGCCGTAGGAACTTCTTCCAGTACATTCTTAAGCTGCATTGCATCCATTTCTTCACGCTGAGCTTCGTGCCAGAAATCTGCATACTTTGAACGTCCAGCGTCTCTGGTGCTCCGTGGCATTCTGACGTCACTCGCACGAATAAACTGGCCAAGTTTGTCCAGCACTCTTGCGTGTGTGGTCAAAGCAACAAATTTTTTGTACCTATTCGGCTTGTGTCACTTCGCCGCCTCTCTCAGACTTGCACGTCGTCGACACATCGCTGTATTATCATCATTCATATTTGATGAGACATCACCGTTTGATGGTACATCACTATACCGCTGCCTCTTTCTTGTTTCACTTTCCTCCCTAGCGATCTGCTCACCCGATTTCATGTTCGACAAGTCTTGCAACGTGTCTTCGACACTAACGTCTGCTTCAAACGTTGAAACACTGACATAACTTGGTGTCGCAATAGATTTCAAATCATCACTCCTGGTATCTAAAGAATCCTGATCTTCGGCAGCTCCATCAACATCAGTATTGGAGTCACCACTAACAGCATCATCGTCGTGATACGCACTATCCATGTCATCACGACGGATGTCTCGGGCAGAACCACCGTAGTCACCGTCGACAATGCTATCAACATCGTAGTCACCGTCGGCACCGTCGACTATCCCATCACCGTCGACCATCCCATCCCCATCCGCCGCCTCGGTGCCAAGAATATCATAAGTGGCATCGCCCGTGACGGATGCGTCGACACCGGTCGCCTCGTTATCTGCAAAAACTGGAGAGAAAGGACCATTAGCAACAGACGCCGGGGCAGAGCGAGTGTCGCCGTCGTGGGGAGAAAAACGAAGTCGATCCAGGAGAGGCACATAGGTGGTGCACTGATGGAGATCACGGTAGACAATAGACTCATCAATGGCTACGTCTGCAGCCCACTTGCGAGTATGTTCGTGGGGGAAATCGATTTTGTACCCCACCTGGTCGTCCCGGAGCCCCAGCACAAATCCGATCGTCGCATTGTCCTTGTGTCGTGGACGATCTGGACCCTTTAGCACGTGAACATACGCGAGTGCCCCAAACACACGAATATGATGAAGATCTGGTTTGACGCCAAACATGCGTTCGTACGGTGTGCAGTTCGCCGCCTTGTTGTAAACGCGATTTTTGAGGTATACAGCATAGTCAAAAGCATCTGGCCATAACTGGGGTGAAAAACCAGAGTCTCGAAGCATCGCCTTCGTCATGTCACTTAGCGACTGGTGTTGTCTCTCCACGGGATTCATGTGAGAACTTTTTGGTCTAACCTGCACATGCTGGATTCCTCGTGCGTTATCATATGCATCGATATCGTGGTTTACAAACTCACCACCTTTGTCCGTCAGAATAATCTTCACCGGTAACGTGCGATGTCCTTCCATGATATGCCAACTACGATGCACAATCTTCTTGATGCTTCGGCCAGCTTGCCGCTCGGCCCAATTGACGTAGTTTTTCATCAACTCATTCACCGTTTCTGCGTCCTTCTTTGCCAGAAGATGTGCTGTCAAGTATCGCGAATAACCGTCCATGATAACGAGAATTGCCGTATACTTGGTGCCATTATTTCTCGATGGAAAAAGAAGATCAGCATACACAACTTGATTGAGACCTGTGATATCGTGCTCTTTCTTCTTGTTTCGACGTTGGCGACGCTGTTTACCAACATGACATGCGTCACACGGAGATGATTTCCGCCTCGTCAGAATCATACCATGGACAAAGCCTTGATCAACCATTGTCTTCAAATACTGTTCACAAGTGTGTCCAAGACGCTGATGCCAAAGTTTCATAGTAGCCAGTCCATCTGCCGCTGAATACTTTGCTTCTGCCTGAGTTAACGTTCCAACAACAAAAGAATCAACGACTGAATTTTCCGCATGATCTGAGTGATGCGGTTCCACTTTCCGTGGATTCAGAGGGAGCATCGAGTTCAGCACTCGATATGATGAGAATCCCCACGTTCCATCATGATGTTCGGCTCGAATAAGCGGTTGGTCACGATAGTAGACCATAAAATCCGTGCTTGAAGTAGCCATGTCAACTTCGAATCCTTGTTCGACTGCCCATCCTGGAGAGAAAAGTCCGTGTTCCGCATCTGGAACATGCAACACGTGGTCCAGGAGAAAACATTTCTCTATCCCATCAACTTTTGTAACCATTTTAATGGTACCCATTCCAGTCACTTGTGCATGAAGGGCTGTTGATATACCGGAGAGGCTAACCTCCGACTTAGATGAAACTGGAGTGTACTCAACAAAATCTTCTCGATTTGCTGACACGTGAACGTTTGCACCTGTGTCGAAACACCAGTGATTAATTCGTTTTGACAACCCCTTCACCTTTTGTTTTGCAGCACCACTTCCTCGCTTGGTCATTCGCTGCGAATTCGAGATAGCTGGTATTGAAGGATCCGAAGGATCCGACAATTTTTTCGTCTTCAACCTCAATACATCTACCTCGCATGTATTTTGTTTATCTTGACCTCGCGAATTTTTCACCGCCTGCGCCTTCTTTTGCGGTTGTGTCGCAAAACATACGCGTGGCTTTTGTGATTCTCGTACCGCTTCTTTACAATCACGTTTGAAATGTCCTGTCTTGCCGCAGTTGTAACAAGACCTGGTGTCCTTCCTCTCTCCCCGTCCAATCGTATTCTTTCTTGCTTTGTCCACTTTTCTTGACCCTGCATATTCTCCTTGTAGATACCCTCCATGTGAAAATCCCTTAGTTGACTTTCGAATTTGATACCTTGAGCTTGCTGCACGAATCTGCTCCTCCAACTCGTCCATATCTTTAGCTGGTGAATTTCCACACCAGTTCTGCGTTTGGATCAGTCCAAATTCTGGTATCGTGCTGGGTAGACTCTGTAGCGTATACATCATCATTGTCGTAAACGAGAGCTTGCTTCCATAATCCGCCAGTTCAAGCTCCTTGTTTTTCATCTGACGCAAATGACCCTCGATATCAATGTCAGTATTATATCGCATTCGGCGAAGCTCTTCTTCAAGACGTTGCACAGCGTGAAAAGTCGCAACTGTATTTGCTCGATTTTCAAACCGCTTGCAAAGTGTTGCAAACAGTGCACTTCCTGTCTTCTCCGTCCTATAGAGTTCCGCCAGCTCTGGCGAAAGTGACATCATAATCTCTCGTCGAAGTCTTCTTTCAAACTTTTGTAGCTTGGCCTTGCCTTCATCAGTTGAGAGATACTTCCGGCCGATATGACCGCATGCAACATCCCAAAGTTCTTGGTCGATGTCTTGTAGCGCCATCATCGCCACTTTCTTGTAGGTATGCCAGTACTGACCTTTAAAGTTACGTGGCATGCCATCCTTTGAATACATCTTTACACCTTGTCCGCTATCCTGAGGAACCATAGTTGGGCTCATAACCCTTGTAATATGCACTTGAGTCACACGATGCAATTTCGGAACTGTCGTTCATTTTTACCATACAACACAAGCCCTACTGTCCTAACATACATCTCTTCGTGGCCTATGCCAGTTGGCAAGTACAACCTGGGACTCTGCGTCAGCACGACTCCCCTCTCATACCTTCAACCATGAAGCACACCAACTGCCATTCACATGCCTTGCCATCCACTGCCAACTGCCAGCAACTTCCACTGTTCTTCAACTTATTCCAACAGCATGGCCTTCGCTCTCGGCTGTAGGACCAGCAAGAGCATCGCCATCACGACTCGCATATCAATCGGTCGTTTTAATAAAATTACTTGGAATTTGTATCCCACGAACGATACTGAAACGGTCGTAAAAGTAAAAGTCGGGAGAGCGAAATATTTTAGTGTTTTACTTACAAATAGCAAGTGCAAAGAAGCGCGACAAGCCAGTGTTTCGAAGCGATATTTTTACAGAACAGACGCGAATGGAAACCTCAATTCGACGCAGCACTTTATTTACTGCGTCGAAAGTGAGGTTTGTATATATTTACGCCATCGAATCGCCCTCTCAATCGCCAGCTTGGAATCGAAAGACTCAGGCCGCTATATTTGTCACTCTCTATACTAGCACTGACGATCTGTCTCGTCAGACTTTCTTGGATCCATTTGGCTTAACAGCCACAAGCAACGCAAACACCGTTGCGGACATTTAGACGTCGCGATGGACAAACCAGTCGGCATGATTCGCACCCACATCCATTTACGTTTTTGCGACACACTATCAGATTTAACAGATACCGACTTGAGGTGCAGCTAGTCGTCACGCTTGTCAAGTTTACACGACGCAACATCTACATGTCTTTAGCGGCTGAGATGTTCATGCATTTTCATCGTCACATTGTTGCATTATTCAGCATTTGGGCTAAAAAACGATCTATACTGCGCCAACTCGATCGTTTCATGCATGTGCTGAGTAGCCAAGCTAGGTAGTCAATCGGAGACATTGTGAACGGAAATTATATTGAAGAAGAGCGACCCCTGATTGTGAAAAGAGGTGGACGCAGCACTACTAATACTACAATCGAATAAATTTGGCTCTATATTTCTTGAGCTGACCCAACATAACGTCAGGGAGCTCGCAGTACCATAGCAAAGCGCTTCACTTGCCGATGTCAAGCTATATGTTCCTTAGAATCGTCACACTAAAACTATGTGTGCTCTTGGAGTATGGCCTGTGTGTCCAGCGGCAAGGTCTCGCAGACCCACTGCACCAACTCCTTCAGCCGAAGCAAGCGCATTGGCGTATTCCTCCGCCTCCTGCTGCTGCTTCCTTTTTCGTATAATATATACTACCCACAGAACCGTGCCGAGCATGATAACCACTGCGATCACAAGGATAAAGATAAGCCAGCCTGTATGGATGCCACTTTTGGTCGTCGACCCGCTGTCGGCCACTTTCGAAGAGCCCGAAGTAAAGGATCTTAAAGCATCAGAGTTATGTACGTTGTCGGAAGGCGGATCGTCTGAAGTATAAGTAGATGAAATCTTCTGCGTCTTCGTAAACCCTTCGTCTGGGGTGTCCGTAGATCCGCCTCTAGGTGAGCTGTCTGCAGTGACGTCCTCCACACCAGAGTCGTCATCAAGTATTTTCCAAGCCGAGTCACCGTTGCCAATGGACGAATATTTCGTGGGGGTGGCTTTCGTTGACCGTGGTGCAATCTCGCACTTGTTTCCACTGTAGCCATTTTCACAAGTGCAGCTAAAATTGGGCGTTTTGCCAGGGCTTAACGACACCATATTACACGATCCCTGACCATTGCATCGCACTCCACTCACACTGCATTCACCTTGGCACATAACCCTGATAGTCAATCTCTCAGCCACTCAACATCATACAACCCCAGAATATGACTTACCACTGCATGAAGTACCTCCGTAGTACGCATCGCATCGCGAAAGGGACACGCATTTATAGATGCCTTTGTTCCCTTGTAAAACTGCACAACCTTCACTACAGTCACTATACGGTCTCCATAGACAAACGAGTCTTCCACTATCATCCGACGGACAATTGCCCATCGACGAACCACCACATACTGTGGAAGGTACACACGCTTGGGCAGCAGTGTCAGAATCACCCGCAACGCACGTCTCGCCCCATGCGCAATCCGCTGTGCTGGTACAAGCGATTGCTGCTTGCAAGACCTGCACGGGACCCTGAAAAGTCAGAAAAAGTAATGAAAGAATTCCAAGAAGCGGCATGGCGTCACGAATTTAATATTGTCGAGAGATTTCAGCACTGATCCATCATGAAGTGATAGCGGTAGACAATTAATAATGAACCTGTTATGGTGAACACGGAACAAAAAATAGTCAGTGGCTGCAGAATGAGATAGTGAGTGAAGCAAAAAACGGTGCTATGCTGCAAAACCTAGCCACATCAAATCCCACACTTCGCATATTTTTTATGTTTAGGGCTTTGCGATGGCTCCTAAAAACCTTTACCTGTAAGTAAAAGAGCCTTTCATCCAAGGTACAGGGGACGGTTCGCCACTTATGCCGAGGTTCTCTGTCACTGCCCGTCGTCGCACTTGGTTGCCTTATGGAACATGAAAGCAATAACATATTGCATATGCTTATCGCATCATCATCATGCGGTTTTTTACTGCAGCCTGTTTTTTGTCGACAAATACCAAATCTAGACCTAGTTATCAATAGATACTTTTTATCACATCCAATTATGGTACCCGGCAAAGCCTCTAGGCTGTCGGCTAGGAGTTGAGAAGAACAGACCGTCTATTTCAAGCATTAAGGATTGGTAAGATGTCTGGAGTGCTTCTACCAGGACTTCGTCATTCTTCGCCTCGCTGGCTCAATCTGCTGGCTCGAGACGTCGGGCGTCACGGGGGACACTCCGAAAAGGGCACGTGGAATCGGGTATCCAGCCCGAGGTGTAAACAGAGGCTCAATGATCGCAACAAGCGCCGGGCACCACACCGATCAGTCCCGATCGACCGCTGATGCACCTGGACGGGGCCGATCAATTCACGTTCTTGGCAAGTTCACTTCGTGGGACCGAGATTTGCGCTTGGCGATCGAATCGGCGGCTTGAAGGCTGACGTAGAATAGCAGGAACTATCGGGGAAGAAGGGAATGATAACCGCGGTCGTCGATCCTCTCCCCCCAGGGGTGACAGGGTTGGTGCTCCCCTTACGGTTCGCACGCTGCGCTTGCCCCCCATAGCGCACGCAGCAGAGGGAAAACCTCCCCCCTCTTATCCTGGGCCTCCCGTTGGAGGGACTTCCCGCCCTGGTCTGAGGGGGCCGGTTGACCGGCTCTTCGGAGGTCTTCGTCTCTTGGCCGTTGTTGCTCGAAGGCGCGAATTGGGAATTAGTGTCGGCTAGGAGTTATAGCCTGGCATGGCCTGTCTTTATTATGCTTTTTGGTAGGCCCCTTATAAATTACCCCTTTACCTGCACTCCACAATCAAATACAGAAAAAGCATATATTTCCCAGACGCCAGCTAACATGAGCGATGGGGACACCACTCCTGATGCCGTTGCCGTTGCCTCTGCCGACATGTCCGTAAGTACAATGGCAAGATGTCTAGCCAAATTACCGAGTCCGTAAAAAGGGGGTACTTCTTTAAATGAGAATTGGAATTCTTTTTGCGCGCGTCCATGAAAGCTGGCAAGATTAATCGATACGATGCACAGTGTAAATTTACGCAGAAATTTAGAAGGCGGCTCGATCGAAGAATTTGCTAAAGCATTTGGCAGAAAAGTGTAAGGAGGTTACAAAAGCCCGTAGGATTGCGTATGATAGATACCCACATCAAGGTAGAGCATCGAACCTTTTTACCTATAATTTTGTAACGAGTCAATGGTTACACAAGTCCGTTAGGTATATGATAGGTCTAAAGGGTACGTACCTCCCACTTGGGTGAGGCACATCAGTGTGACCCACCTTCGTGAATGTAAAATCCCTTAATGGATTCACATTGAAGGGGATGACGCCCAGTTGGGACTAAGCGTCATGATGGCGTCACATGCGGACGTCATTAGCGAGCTTAAATATTTTTAAGCTCGCACGTAGAGATACGCTTTTAAAGAGACGCGTATCCAATTTTTGCATACTACACCAATCAGTTGTTAAATTTACATTTATTAAGTTTTTTCCAAATATAAGTCAGTCTTGAATTTACTACATTAAACTCACTGCGCGCAGAAAGACTGGCAACAACTTGTGCGACACAATTGGTGTTGTCTTAAGTTCGTTGAGCAGTTCGCTTGAAGCGATCGGCAACGGTTGTTACACCGCTTTAAGCGCCGACCAACACCACCACCGCACGCGGAGGTAAGACGGTTCAATTTCTTCCACACGCTACTTGAGGGCGTGTTCTAGTAACACGTGGCAGCTCTTAGAAATGCCCGTCTACACTTTGTAACAATGGTAGTGTTTCCCACGAACCGTCTTTTTGAGCGTGCGTGAGTACGGATTCTCAGTATGGATTGGAAGGAATTTTTATCACCTCTCTTAACATCATAGGTAGGTGGATGAGCCCTTGGCGCAGGGACTTCGTAAAAAAGCCCTGACCAACCTCTTGAATTTTTCTCATGAGCAACATGTTGCTCAGTTAGAGCAATTCGAGGCGGTTGTGCTCGGACAGCGTAGAATAGTGTCCGAGCAAACAGCTAAGCCATGGCTAACTCCATCAGTAAGGCTAAAGATGAGCTTTTGCGTGAGCAAGCTCGGAATGAGGCACTCAACAGAACTGTTAAGACGCTCTCGTCCCGGTCTAATCAGCCAAGGACCATTCGAATGGACGCTACGAAGTTTAATGGGACTGCCCACATACGATTGTCCACTGGCTTTTAGCCGTGGAGCAATGCGGTATGGTGAAGCTCATCGAAGACGACACCAGGATGGTGTCGTATGCCATGTCAAATTTGCGTGGCAAAGCGTCAGAGTGGGCTTATTCTGCGCTTA